GAGGGTGAGATAGAATTGATATGCATGCTACTTGGGTGTAATTATACGTATGTATCAATATATACTTATATTTAATATAAATATATGGGCGCATATAATTCATTGCATAAGTGTATATGTAGTTGTTTATATTCTGTATCTTGGGAAGGAGAGAGAGATGAATAGACAATAAATCATAGATTGATTGATAAAGATTATACCATATACGGCTAAATTTTTTCTTGTCATCAACTGTAAATATGAATGCTTACTGTTTTGCGCATTCCATGTAAGAAAAATCTGCCAATCCTTTCCAATATTAGATTAGTCTCGCGAAAGAATTCCATACAAAATTCTTCATTTCAAACAAATAACTACATTATTTAATAAAGTTGACATTAGAGCCTGTCCGCTGTTTTCTAATATTGGTCTTATAGAATTGTCGAGGGTGAGCCAATTCGTTTTCTTTTTTTTTCTATACACATCGAATTTTGGGATAACGTGGATGAACGTGCCCGCAATAAGAATATTTTTCCCACAAAACCGCTTCTATTTTAACTAAATTTTAAAGGGAATGTTTATTTTAAAAAGCCATTATTGGAACTATGAGATTATTTAAGCGATTATTAGAATTGATTCAAAATATATAAAATGCAAAACAATAAGGATTTCCTTATAACTGATTCACATATTTTAATAATTTTATTATTTTATTTTTTATAATTCTTTCTCTTCCATTCATAAGGATACGAAGATGCATCTCAGTTAATATGAGAGGATCTTACTGAAAATAAGTAGACAAAACCTATCTAAATTATTCAATGAAGGATGTCTTATCATATATATATATATATATATATATATATATATATATATATATATATATTAAAAGTGAATATAAATATAAATAAATATATATATATGTATAATTATTTATATATTATATGCGCGGTACTTATTAGAAAAATATTAAAACATTAATCAGTTTGCCTGACGATACTTAAAGCGTGAAACCCAGGGTCACAAACTCACATCTATCCAACCAAATATATATATATATATATATATATATATATATATATATATATATATATATATATATGTATTACAATGAATCATTTATACTAAAAGTAGGTTAGTAAAGTTAATGATATAAAATGGCGAAATCCTTTCGCAAACAAAATTTTAAAGTTGCATTAACCTATAAATCACTTGATGAATGTTATAATCCTTGTTTTTAATAAAGTTGTATAATGTCTTTTTTTAATATGCAAGTACTTTCAACTTTACATTCAGTCATCCTCAGGCATAGAAATTATTTTGTTTTTAGTAAAATCCAGGTAGCATTAGAGACGAAAAAGTTAAATGCGAATCGAAATATGTTTTTTTTATATGTGCTATTGTTAACGGATACAAACTTTTATATCATTAACTTTACTAATCTACATTTTTATGAATGATTCAGCGTAATATAAATTGAACTATATATATTGATATATATATAATCGACTCTCCCGTCGAGATTTGACGTATGAGGGTCAAGCAGATCAGTTTCCAGGAAACCGACAGCCCGACACCGGCACATGAGATTTGATTATAGTGGTGAAGGCCTCGTGTAGGACCATCCACACTTTTTGAAGGGACGAATACAGAGACCTGGTGCACCGAATGCCACAAGATTCCCAAACGACCCTCCGCAGGTTTTGAATTCCGAGTTGACCTTCTTCTAGACCAGTTGCCATCCAAGGCTATAGAACCCAGTCTGTCATGCTATTTTACCCATAGCTGTGGGGAGAAGAAGAGGATTCATACCTTTCCCAAGGGTATTAGCACGTAAGTGAATGTAATGGATTCGACTGGAATTCGAACTCGGCTCTGCGATTCCTCAATCCAAGCCGCTATCCATTACTCCATATATATACACATATATATATATTTATATATATATATATATATATATATATATATATATATATATATATATATATATATATATATATATATATATATATATATATATATATATATATATATATGTTTTAAAAAATATATATATATATATATATATATATATAAATATATATATCTTAAATTTTTTCATTATATATATATATATATATATTGTTGTGTATATATATATATATATATATATCATTGTATGTATATTTATATATATATATATATATATATATGTGTGTTGTATTTAATATCCATGTATATATATATATATATATATATATATATATATATATATATATATATTTGAAGAATTGAAAGAATTAAACATATTTTGGGTACTATTATTTTCTTCGGCTTTATATTTTCAGAAGGAATATACATTTGGAACAGCTGACAATAACCAACGATAACAAGAAAGTGGGATTGAATTACGCTGCTGTCACTGATTTATTGATTCTGAAACAGATTGTGCTACAGGAAATCTATGATCGCGTGCAAAATGGCTGCCATGAGAACTGCCTTTCATATGCAACGTTCAGATGCTGGATGGTTTAATTTTCATTTTATAAAAAGATCCTTTGAAGTTTAACAGTGGTCAGGACGACCTGTGAAACAAACTTCAAAAAATAAAACAAATGCATATTCCTGCTCTAAATTCATTAAGATTATTCGGATTCGAATATGATTTTGGAGCTTTATAAAACACACACACACACACACACACACACACATATATATATATATATATATATATATATATATGTGTTGAAACTTGACTAATGCATGGAATATTAATACAACACAAAATGTACTTAGAATAAAAATGTATTTTTTCAAAAAATTGTACACAATATTTACATATTTTTTTGTATATTCACGGAAATGTTTGTTCATGGAGAATGTAGATGAGTTGAAAAAAGTCGGGCAGAGTTTCTGGATTGGAGGAACGTTTGATTCCAATATATTCTTCCCGGTAAAAAACTATATTTATATTTTCGGTACTATTTTTTTTTAAATTAAAATGAATGTGATCCTACCATATTTTCAATATATATAACACTTCTTCATTTCAAAAAAAATAACTACATTACTAAATAAAAATATTTGTAAATATATATATATATATATATATATATATATATATATATATATATATATATATATATTAAAATGTCTTTATATATATATATATATATATATATATATATCTGATAGAATTAATTAGGAGGATCTGTAAATAATTATTAATTTTTTGAAGTTTTTAAAAATTGTTTATTTGGATCCTTTTCAAAAATTTTTGAACATAACAATTTTTTTTCGAAAAACAAATCATATCATCGCACTATAACAGAGAATGGTTTGAAAAAGAAAAGGTTACGAGGATAAGGGGTCAAAAAGATTTTTTGGATGCAAAATGCTGATGAGAATTAAATTGGACGAAACGGCCATTTAAGTTTTTTATTGCATTCTTTTGAGGTTTTTTCTATGCAGCCGATGAAACTTAATATATATATATATATATATATATATATATATATATATATATATAATGTCAGATGGCGTCACTGTGTCATGCTTTTTAATTCAAGGGACACAACTAAAATGATTCAAAGTTCATTTTTTTTAGAAATTTTGGCTTATTACGTTTTTCATTACTTTGATTGTTTTCGACGATTATTCAAAATTTTTTGCAACGAATCAAAGCGGCAAATATTTAAAAAAAGTCAAAAACCATCCTTATAAAAAAGTGTGAAAAAATATCCTGATCTTTATTTCCATATTCACAACGTTTCGACTGTTGTACGCCCGGTTTACATTAAGGTGATATACGTTGAAGAAATTGAACCCAATTGTTGTTATTTAATTTAATTATTCTGATTTATCCCAAAATGACATCCATTGTGGATAAAGACGTTAGTTAGATCCAGTGACAGGCGCCAAAAAAAATAAGTTCAATCATGCTTAAGGCAGTGGAAAACATTCAGAGGAAATTTGCAGGAGATAAATTGATAACGGACATCCATTAAATAAAACGTGGAACTCGTAAGAAACAGATTACCCCAGTGAGCGAAATAAAGTGTTCAGTTCGACATTCCAACCAATTTGAAGAAGGCCGGAGCGTATAACTGCCGAAACGTTATAATAAATATGGCTGACAAAAGATGAGGACAATAATTTGAATAATGTAAAAAAAAAATATATATATATATATATATATATATATATATATATATATACACATTTGTGTGTGTGTGTTATATTTTGCGAAAGAAAGGGATTATGACAGAACTTCATTTTTATTTCCTACTGATGGTAGGAGGCAAACATCCTCACATTTTGTCGGAAAGGTGATATTTGTTAAATTTTTAACGCCCATTTTTTTTTTGAAAGATAGATAATGTAATTTACCGACGGATGAACCATTTGACAGATGAAAGTGTATTATCTCCGCATATGGAAAATATAAATGATATTTCTTTTTTAAAAATATTGTATTGAGCTGCAAAAAATTATATAGTTGTCAAACGCTTCACCGATGTTACGCTTTTTGTTTTGTTTTTTTGTTTTTTGGGGTTTTTTGGGGGTTTTTTTTTTGTTTTTTGTCTTCATGCAAAAGAAATAAAATAAAATACTAGGTCGATTCTTTCCAAACACATAATGGTCGAACAGAAGAATAAAAAAAAAAAATTATTGTGAAATACTAAAAATGCTATCATAAATTATACATTTTGTAACGACGAAATCGTAAAAGTTACCGGTTGGTGAGACACTGAATCTTTGGTCTCTCCCAGGGAAAATATTTTTGCACGATGTAAAATAAGAAATAAATACAGAAAATAAGAAAAAAAATATGCTGACAAACTCACGAATGCACCAAACCGACGCTAAGAACAGAACATAAAAAAAACAATAATTTTAGAAAAAAAAAAAATATGCGTGCATGCGTTGAGTGCTTAAGACAAAAATTTTATGGAACAAAATACACAAATAAAAATTTCATTACACGGAATGTTATTGCATATGGGAAAAAAAGAAGACATGACATATATTCTACAGTTATCATGTGTACGTATTTCAGACAGAAATTATGTCAGTTGAAATATTGTTCATTACATTCAACGGGTAATACTGTTAATTTGGAGCAAATCGTATCCATTTCATCTATCTATCTATCTATCTATATTATCTATTTATCTATCTATCTCCGCTTGTTCATTATTTATCTATTTATTAAAATCTATCTATCTATCTATCTATCTATCTATTATCTATCTATCTCTGTGTTTCTTGTTCATTATCTATCTATCTATAATAATATCTATCTATCTATCTATTTTATCTGTCAGTCTGTCTGTTCATCCATTCATCTATTTTTGTTCATGATATCTATCTATGTATCCATCCATCCATCTTTTTTTTTCTATTTATCTATCTATCCATCTATCTATCTATATTCTAAAAACGTTCCCCCATCTATCTATCTATTATCTAATCTATTTATCTATCTATATATATATATATATATATATATATATATATATATATATATATAGAAGATTCCTATTCCTTCTGTTCTTATCAAATATTATTATCTACATATTATCTATCTATCTATCTGCTTCTGTTCCTCATTGAATTTTTAATTTTTAGTTTCTGTAGCTCTTTTTTCTTGTCAGCAAAAATCATGCAGAAATCATTAACATTCTTTCCGCTTAGCAGTCAATAACATGCTACCAACAGCATATCTTTCAACGAACGAATTGGAATCCGTTCCGTGATTTCCTTCGTGACGTCCCTTGGAATGAAGTTTTTAATCACCCAGTTCAAGAATTCGCGTCTGAGGTCTCCTCCTGGCTTAAAACTGGCATCGATGCTTTTATTCCAGTTTAAGTAAAATCAGTAAACATAGGGCAGATTGGAAAATTAATGATTTCTTAGACCAAAATGAAGAGTCGACCTACAGGATGGGAAATGTAAAAGTGATTGGAGAATGACGACAGCGGTTGTAAATTAGTCGAGCAACTACATAAAAGTATAATTTTTACAGTAACTAGCTTTAATCTGTGAAAATGTCACGGTTTTCTTATTTTAAATTTCTGATGAATATTAATTCTTTAGTTAATGTTTGAATAAGCATATGGAGACTTCTACGACAATAAAATGTCTGTTGAATAATTTTAATGAATAATAAATAACCACGATAGATATGAATCTTAGTCGTTATTTTAAGAAGTGGGTACAAATTAAATGATTTGAAATTGACAATTTTAATCCATTTCACTGAAAGAGACATAAAACACTTTCCTTCTTTTCTTTCACTTTCTCATTGCAACCAAGATTTTTTTGTTTTGTTTTTTAAGCATTTCACCCCAAGCAAGGCGAGAAGCCACTAGGACGCAAGGGGGTTACAGAAGATTTGGAGCAAGATCAGATAGGAGTGATAGCGGAAAGGATGAGGAGAAGGATAGTGGATAGATCAAGGCAACTGGAGATGTCGAATGACATTACATTTGAATAGTTGGAGATTATAGCTATCAGGGAAACTGGAATAGGGAAGGGAGTTCCACAGGCGAGAGGTGCGAGACATGAAGCTATTGGAGTAGACGAGGCGGCTACATTTAGGAGTTTCGACAGTGAAGGGGTGAGAGCGGGATGCCAGCCTCGTAGGGCGCTTGAATTCATGAAGTCTGGGAACCAGCGAATGCAGCTCCTCGGAGCAATTGCCATGAAAGTATTTGTAAAACAGACAGAGAGAGGCGACGGCGCATCTGTGAGAAAGTGACTGTAGACGAGATGCCAGATCAGGGCCAATTATATTGCATATCCGCCTCTGGAGCCTATCAAGAACCCCGAGGCAAAAAGAAGGGCTCCAGACCATATATGGCAGCAATACTCCATGCAAGGGCGAATTGTTGATTTGTAGATCTGGAGGATCGATTCCGGGGGAAAAAATTTCCTGGCGCGGCACAGAGAGCCAACTTTTATTTTGCGGTGGACGAAGCAATTGACTCAATTTATTTGTTCTATCTCAGGTCAGTAGTCAATGTGAGATGAAGCAGCCGCAGAGAAGTAATTTCTCGAGATTTTTAAAGCGTTGCGTCTTTGATATATCTATGGTAAATGATAACATCAAAAACGGAATAACTCATTATATATAAGGTGCTAGCAGGAGACGATATTCAGTGCCCCCCACGAGGGGTTTCATGTGGCACAAGGCCTTTTTAACGTGAATATTCCGAGCCCGTTAAAAAAAAAAGAATGCCCATTGAACCCGTATAAACGGGTTCAGGTATGCTATTTATTTCCCGAAAGAGACTCCGCCCTTCGGCGTAGCCTCCTTCGGGTTCCTCCTGTCCGTAGGAAGAGAGTACAACCGAACAGTCGGTTCAGGTGCTAGCAGGAGACATTGACACTTCTCCTTTCTTTCACTGAAACCAGTTAGCATCTCTGATATGTCTTTTATCTTTCCACGCGATTAAAACGAAATAGACTATTATTGATGATGGAGGTTTTTGAGGATAGTGGAACCCACTCTTAATTGCTGTTGTTCACAGGCCCGCGCTGACCCGGGGAAGTTGGTCCTGTTAGGGTCCCAGCTATAGGTAAATAGCGAAACCCTCAAAACAAAAAACAAAACACTATAAAAGTATAAAAACACATTTTTATAGTAAAAGTACCAGCAATACATTTTTCTATTTAAAAAATTAACAACAATACATATTTATATTAAAATGACCAGAAATACACTATTTACATTGTCCGGACTATCATCCTCATCTTTGTTGCTATATTTATCACAATGTTTCGGCCGTTGTACACTCTGGACTTCTTCAGGTAGTTGGAATGTCGAACTGAACTCTTTATTTTCCTCACTGGGGTAGACTGTTCTAGTTCCACGTGTCATGTCTAATGGATGTCAGTTATAAATTATCTCCTGCTAATTCCCCTCTCTAAGTTCTCCACTGCCTTAACCATGTATTGAACTCACACTCTTTGGGTCCTGCCGCTGGATCTAACTAACGCCTTTATCCACTATGCCATGAAGAGATCTGTGTATAAATTTCTGGATATTATAAACCTAATGTCTTCAGTTAACATTTTTTTACCAGTGCTCATATTTCAATTTTTGCTGTTATCATTGCATGTTTTTTATCAGGGCTCATATTGCAATGTTCGTTGTTGTTATTGCTTTTTCTCTGGCACTCCTTATTACTGGTTCCCATATTGTATTCATTTCTATGCTTGGTCGGCTCAGGAGATTTTTGTGGCCTAGAATATGTGTGATTCCTTAAGTTTTCGAATTTTCCAATGATGTTCTTGCAATGGAACTAGAACATTTTACTCAGTGAGCGAAATAAAGTTTTCAGTTTCGTATTCCAACCACCTGAAGAAAGCTGGAGCGTACAACGGCCGAAACGTTGTGATAAATATGGCAACAACGATGAGGACGATAGTCAGAACAATGTAAATAGTGTACATAACACCTCATCTCAGAAATATAGATAATGACCACCAATATTTTTGATCTGTAGTTTAAGGCACGCAATTGCGTTCAAAATATATTTAATTGAAACCATAAAATTATGTTCAAAATATTTAGATTTCGGCATTAAATAACCAATATGCTGCTAAAAAAATTAACCAATCATTAGATTTGAGGTACTGGCACGGTGAATTGGTCGGGCTAACTAACAGAAGGAACAAGCACATTTATAATAGGTTAATTATGGTAGTTCGGCATGATATCGGAAAAGTCGTAGCTTAGTCAGTGACGAATTCAACACTATTCTTGCTTATACAAATTTTTGATTTTTAATAATAAATGTGGTTGGAATAGAACCCAAGCAATGATAAACCATTCACTCACTTAAATCAGCAATATTCATATGTATACAAATTATCTATCTATATTTCTGAGATGAGGTATTATATACAGTATTTAAATTGTTCGGACTATCAAGGACACATGGCACAGTGGATAAAGGCGTTGGTTAAATCCACTGACAGGACCCAAAGACTGTGAGTTCAATATCTGGTTAAGGTGGTGGAGAATTTGGAGAGAGGAATTAACAGGAGATAACAGATAACTGACATCCATTACGTGGAACTAGAACAGTCTACTCCAGCGAGCGAAGTAAAGGGTTCAGTTTGACATTCCAACCACCTGAAGAAGGCCTGAGCGTACCCCGGCCGAATCGTTGTGATAAATATGGCAACAGAGATGAGGACGATAGCCCGAACAATGTAAATAGTGTATACAAATTAGCATTTGAAATTGTAAAGGTTTTTGGAGGATGACACAAGCATTTGTAGCGACTGCTGGACACTCATGCGCGCATTCAAATAATTAGCCACCAATAGAATATTTCATAATAATTTTGGTTGATGGTTATTTTCAGGAGCGTGGAACCAGCTGTTAATTGCTGTTGTTCCCTTCTTCATGCTGCCCATAGCAGGGCCTCTCTTTGGGTCCCTGCTATGGGAAAATAGGGAACCTTCACACAATAGTATCAGAAGTCACCTAAGTATACAAAGTGTATATGAGCACGTAGCCGAGTTTTTAGAACGTTCTCTTTCTGACAATGAGTCCCTGGTTCGAATCTCACCATAGTCGGTTTATCAGGAAAGTGACTTTTTGATGATATCGGTCTGGAGGAGGGGTTCTCAGCGTGCGGGGCTCTTGAAAAGTTCCCGACCCAATCCCTGTGAGTAAAAATTATGTAAACGGAACCCTTAGGAGCCGTAGATCGTAGTACCAGTATGAAGTCACAAGTCATTGTGCCCGGGTTCGAATCTCACCTTGGTCGATTTGTCAGGGATGTGACTTTTTGATGATATCGGTCTGGATGAGGCGACCTCAGCGTGTGAGGATTTTGAAATGTTCCTGGCCCAATCCCTGTGAGTAAAAAATTATGTAGACGGAACCCTTAGGAGCCGTAGATCGTTGTGCCAGTATGAAGTCACAAGTCATTATGCCCGAGAATCTTCTTCTCATAACAGGAAGAAGCCGGCTCAATCCGCCCAGGGTGAATGCGCGAGGATTTCCGCGTGTTGGTCTTGTTCAGATCACGCTAGATAATGCGTCCTCTCCCAAGAGAAATTCGCCTGAGCAGGCGTACAGAGGAAATAAATTGCAAAAAAATTCATGTTGTTTAAAATGTTTGGAGGATGACGTCATCAGTGGAAGCAGATGTACATTTCTCACCCAAGTGTTCGACAGTGATTTTATTTCTTAGAATTAGAATGGAAAAATGCCATGTGACGCATTTCGCGCTTGAAAGGGACTTCTTCGGGATAAATAATGCTATTACCGGTGGAATTATATATGAGGTCTGATAAAAAAAAAAGTATAGGGATTGTTGCTATGGTAACGGCGCTAATGTACGCAGAGTGAAGCCGCTTGGCACAAACTGACCTTGAATGCTGTTTATCATACACACTATGTTATATATCTCTGGTTCAATTCTGTTGTTTACAGCACGCTTTTGAATGAAAGTCTGTAGAGTGTGGCCACTCTCACGACAACACTGATTTTCCATCAGTGACCATGGCTTCTGAAGCAGTTTTAACCAAAGAAAACATTCCTCAAATCCGACAACCACCATATTCCTTAGATCTCGATTCTTGCGATGGGGTTTATACGAATCTATACAAGGTTTGATAAATAAATTATTGGGACTCTTGCCCAAGTCCGACAACTGTCATATTCCCCAGATCTCTCCCCTTGCGGCTTTATTTTCTCTTCAAAAGTCAAATCCCACTTGAAAGGGACAAGATTTCACGACGTCGTGGAAATCCAAGCGAATGCGAAGAAATTCCAGGAACGCTTCCACCAATGGAAACGACACTGGATAAAGTGTGTGGCTTCAAAAGGAGATTACTTCGAAGGAAATTAAATGCCGAAGTGATATGTGTTGTAGTTTTCTTTTTATAGTATCAGTCTATATACTTTTTTTTTTTATCCCGTCCTGTGTAAGACGATAAACTTTCTCCAGCAGCAAGGCCTCTGATCAGGAGGTTTTGAGAAGCGTGGAACCACCTCTTAATTGCTGGTGTTCCCAGGTTCATTCTAACCCGGGGTGGTATAACCTGTAACTATGGAAAAATAGTTAGCCCCCAAACTGGGGTCAACAAATTATGTAAGTGTAAAAATAGGTTTTAATACCAGAAATACTTTGTATAAAAACATAATTTTAAAAAAATCATTACCAGCAATACATTTTTGAAGAAAAAATATTACCAGCAATAAAAATCTTGTCGGCATTAAATAACACACTGAGGTCGATATGCCGTAAAACAAACCAAACCAAACTAAAACAGAAATACATTTTGGTAAAAAATATTACCAGGTAGATATTTTGAAAAATATTACTAGCAATAAATTTTATAAAGAAAAAGATATTACCAGCAATACATTTTTGAAAAAAAAAGATATTACCGGCATTCATCGGCATTAAATAACCCATTGAGGTTGATATGCTGTAAATCAAACCAAACCAAACTATTTTTTATCAGACCACGTGCATATAGAGGGTGGGGGGACGAAATATAACAAATTTCTGTTATAATTGCACATCGCAAGAAATGCTGAAAATGCAAGGAGGCTTAACTTTAGATTTAAATTGCGACTTTTTATGCGAAGCAGCATCTCTTCTTTTATGCGCCATGCCCATTCAGGACGTGGACGACCATGGCTCTCCACACCTTCCTGTACTTTATAGCCGTAAGTAAGGTTTGTCTTTTTGCTATCTCTCCTACTCCCTGATCTGCTATTTTCGCAAGCTGATTAGGTAGGTTATGCACTGCTTTCATCTGTCATGCTTGCATTTGGTATGTCCTGTGAGTGTCAGATTCTCCTAGCCGTTTTTCCTCATTATGTTCCCTAGAAATTTTAACTGTCTCTCTCTCATGATATATATGTGTTTTTTGGGGTTTTTTCGATTTTTACTTAAACGTCGTTGCTCATATGTCTGCTCCATCAGTGCTCACGTTTGCTCCATGATAATCTCAGTATCCCTCTGTAGAACCAGATTTTTGCTGCCTCACGTCTCTTCTTCATCTGCGAGGGGATTGTCCGGCATTCACTTTTATACAAGAGTAGCGATATTACATAAATGTTCAGTAATATTTGTTTAAAACGATTTTTTTTACCTATTTCTTTGCTTAATTTTTGGAAGGCATCTTTCGCTATGCCAAATCACATTCGGAATTCGGTGTTGTATTTTCCCTCTGTTAAAACACTTTTTTTAAGCGTTTCATCACAAGCAAGGCGACAAGCCACTAGCACGCAAGGGGTTACAGAGCGTTGGATTCAGAGCGAATAGGAATGAGAGAGGGAGGATGAAGAGAGGTATAGGGGATAGATCAAGGCATTTGAAGATGTCGATTGACATTACATTTGAATAATTGGAGATTATAGCTATCAGGGAAACAGGAAAAGGGGAGGGAGTTCCACAGGTGTGAAGTGCGAGACATGAAGCTATTAGGGTAGAAGAGACGGCTACATTTAACAGTTTCGACAGTGAAAAGGTGAGAGCAAGATGCCAGCCTTGTAGAACGCTTAAATTCATGAAGTCTGGAAACCAGCGAAAGCAGTTCATCGGAGCAGTTACCGTGAAAGTATTTGTAAAAAAGACAGAGAGAGGCGACGGCACGTCTATCAGAGAGCGACTGCAGATGAGGTGCCAGATCAAGGCCACTTGCTAATATCTTGCACTTCTTTAATTTTGTTATCTCCAATTTTTAATATGCATATTGTTCTGTTTCTTATTCTAACAACCATATATTTTCTCTTCTTACAGTTGTGATTTTGTTCTGTCTTCTGTTCGTTACTAGCTTCTGTAGAAGTTCTTGTAGTCTCCTTTCGATGCCTTCTATCAACACTGCCTGCTCCATCATCTTATCTAATACTGTTATTGTTGTGGTCACCAATAATGAAACCTTGTAGGACTTCAAATTCTTTCAGGATTGCTTCATTGTAAAAGCTGAACAGGCCTGGCGAGAAGACACATCCTTGTCTTACGCCTCCTTTTAAAAAATTATGTATTTCTCACCAGTTCTAAAGGTCAGTATTCACGCCATTTGAATTTTTCTATCGGTCAGAAATCGGTGATTGTTAAAATACTTATGTTGACTTTGAAGATTGACGCAGTATAGTCTTTCTGTCTTCATTTCTTTTTTATTGTAGATTAAAGTACCATGCTTAACGAATGAGATCATTTCATATTTACCGATATACTTTTTTCTTTTTCTTTCCTTATTTTTTGTTCGCTTTCTTTTTACTTTCTTGTTTCTTTCTCTCTTTCTCTTTATTCCTTTTGTTTCTACTTATTTTTTGCAAACGTCTTCCTTAGAAAGACCTTGAAAACTTTCTTTACTACCCCTTTTTTTCTTTATCGCTTTCTCTTTCATTTTTTTTTGTCTTCCTTTCTCTTTGTTTGTTTCTTTTTTTCTTGTCTCCTTTTCCTTTCCTTTCGTCTTTCTTCCGCATTCTCTCTTTATCCCGTTCTCTTTTCTTTTGTTTTCTTTTTTCTTTCTTTATTCTCTGTACCTTCCTTATTTTTTATTTATTTATTTATTTGCAAAATATCTCTCTTGGAAATATCAGGAAGAACCTGTCTTCCCACGACATTTTATCGTTCATTCTGTAAACCGCCACTACCCAATCGTTAGACGGTCGCTGCAAACTGCACCATTTCGTTCTAAAATTCGGTAATTCCCTTTTGCTCCTTAAAACGCAGAAGACGTTACCGCTTATCGATTTTTCCCAGAAACTATGTAATATTTCGCAGTGACAAGAATTTGCTCTTCCAGTTTAATATTCGAGCATAAAACGGTAAAGTTTCATAATCACCGGCATGATAAAATGTCACCTATCTAGAGGAACGGTTATTCTCTCAAAGAGATTCCTTGACTTGAACGTCTTCAAGAAATCTTCCACAACGAAAGAGAACAACCGGAAATACATCGAATGGCCGACGGGCCTTAAATTTTAAAAAACGAAGTGGAAATTGCACTGGCCAAATTAAACAAAAAAACAAGCCAGCCGGCCCAGACAGAATTTTAACAGAGATTATTTTAGCGTAGACAAGATTACGGAAATAATAAATGAAATATGCAACAGTGGCGATATACCGAAATATCTAAGCAGATCTATTTTCGTAGCACTGCCTAAGAAACATGGCGTAAACGAATGTGAACTCCACCAAACAATCAGCCTAATGAGCCACATAACAAAACTAATCATCCGGATTCTGATGAACAGAGCGCGCAGCAGAATCGGACCAGACATAGGATAAGAACAGTGCGGGTTCGTTAAAGACACCGGACCAAGCAACGCGATATTCATGCTCAGAATGTTATCAGAAAGAGCAATCCAAATGTACCTGTGTTTTATAGACTACGCAAAGGCGTTCGACAAAGTACGCCACAAAGATCTGCTAGAGAGGATGCAAACAAAAATGAAACTCATACTAAACACCAGGAAGAGGCGGCTGAAATTTCTGGGACAGGTATTGAGAAAGGATGGTTTGGAGAATCTGATACTCATAGGACGGATAGATGGAAAAAGGGTCAAGGGAAAACAATGCGTGACATACTTAACGGGCTTAAGCAAGTGGGTGGCAGAACGGGGTCTGGGAGAAATAACAAAAAGTCAAAGCTTATTGCGAGCTTCAAAGGACAGGATGAGCATGGAGAGCCATGGTCGCCTACGTCCTGAAGAAACACGGCACATAAAAGAAGAAAAATGCTCCCTAGAAAATTATATTTCGGCATTAGTTTAGTTTAGTTTTTCCTTCCGTTTGTGCTGCGAAGCATCGCGGGGAGACACAGTCGTCTGCCAGCAGCAAGGCGAGTGTCCTGGAGGAGAGATATCTCGTGGGCTCTGAGAGTGCCTGCCACTGAGTCGCTCTAGCCTCCCAAAGACTTGTCCTCGTGGTGGGAGGTGGAAACAGGTAATACTAGCCAACGCGAGTTTGGTGAAGCTGTTACTGGCTTAACAGGCCGGCAGTGGATAAAAAATTTGCTCAAGGAAACATGTTGGCATTAAATGACCCATAAGGAGTTAATAAGGATCAGAAAAATTTTAACCGTAAAAATATTTATAGAAATGTCACTAGGAAACTAGGTTATATTGCTGCCGCCATATCTGGGTTGAAGCTACCCTCCCCTACCTTCCAGATTCATATGTGAATCCCTAAATATACATTTTACTGTTATCAATAAGCAATAATTTAGGGGTTCAGTTTATTACTAAATGAGAAAAGAAAGTCTAAGCCCCATTTTATGTCTAATGAATTCTGGACATTCTCCTCACAGATGAAGAAGAGACTCAAGGCAACAGAAAAGTGGTTCTACAGAAGGATGCTGAGAATACTATGAATAAAACATGTGACCAACGACGAAGTTTTAAAAAACATGGAAACAACAGGACGCTTACACTTAGAATCAAAAGATTAAAATCAATTAATAGCTGAAACCCTAGGAGTTGTGGCGTCACTCAGGCAGTACCGCTCCTTTGGGGTGGGGCTTGAATCATTACCCGGCGCCTGAAGTGCCGATGGGTTGTCGGATTTTAAAAATCATATCACCCATCTCTCAGAAATTGGGCAAAATGAACTAAAGGTTAAATAGTTATGGTATGCTCGTTTCTCTTTCTTTATGTGTTTTGTCCTCTCAGGACGTAAGCGGTCATTGCTCTCCACAATTTCCTGTTCTCTGCAGCTCTTAATAAACTTTGTCTTTCTGTTATTTCTCCTAAACCCTGTTCTGCCATCTATTTAGTCAAACTCACTGAGTATGTTATACGTTGCTTTCCTGTGTCCCCCTTACCTGTCCTGTGACGATCATATTTTCCGAGCCTTCTTTCCCATTATGTACCCAAAAAACGTCAACTCTCTCTTCCTGATGTTAAGTATGTTTCCTTTTTCGTTGCATTTTCTCTAAAACTTCGTCATTGCTCACATGTTCTGTCCATAGTATGCTCGGCATATAACCACATTTCTGTTGCTTCAAGTTTCCTGTTCATCTTTGAGCAGATTATCTCACACCCAGTACCATAAAAGAGGACAGATATCTGGTAACACTTCAGTACTCTTTTTCTTGTTTCTAGCGTTATTCTGTCTCTTAATATTCTACTTAGCTTGTGGAAGGCATCTTTGGTTCTCCCAAAATGCCTTCAGATTTCAGTGTCGCACTTTCTGTCCTCTTTTAAAACACTTCTAAGATATTTTTCTGTTTCTTAATACTTTGCTTAGCTTGTGGAAGGCATCTTTGGCTCTCCCAAAATGCCTTCAGATTTCAGTGTCGCACTTTCTGTCCTCTGTTAAAATAATTCCAAGATAATTAAATTTTCTCACTTATTTGATTTTGGTATTTCGCTTAGTCATGGCTTGGCTTCACAAAACGAAAATCACATCGCTTGTGACTGATAAGTCGAATACGGGACAGGAGGCATACACGGTCGCAATAGTTGCAGATAAAAGTCTAGCCTTGGCTCAATGGCATAGAATTACAGTACTTCCTCCTTTGCCTCTTGTCCCTGCAGGTATTTTCAAAGAAGAAGACAGCATGGTTAGTGTTAGGACGCCAGGTGTCACGGTTCTCAGCTAAGGTTGACCATTGCTAATGGTTGATGTGATAGGCAACAAAGGATTTTTCAGGCAATCTTTGAATCGCTTCTTTGGTGCCCTTCTTTTGCGATAGCCAGTATACAGCTTGCCATACAATAACATTTTAGGCAGGCAATGATTCTCCATCCTGGCAAAATGTTCAGCGCAGCGTAACTGGGATATCAGCAGCATGTATTCAATATTGATCTTCGCTTTTTCGTCTTTATATATATATATATATATATATATCCTAATGCTGACCCAGTATATGGTTCAAAACCTACTTAGGGTAGAGTATTAATGAATGTATGTAAAGGAAGTACGGTACGGTATACTTTGAAAATAAGGAGTATAGAATACGGTTGTCTCTTGATTGATGAGGGTTAAGAGTGAAATGTTCGAGGAAGCATCCACGCAGGAAATGGTTCCACAAGGCAATAGTATTCCGGCCTGAGCTCAATGGCATAGCATTGCAGTACTTCCTTCCTTGCCTCTTGTCCTTGAGAGCGTCCCTGAAGCTATTATCAGACTGCATGGTTGGTGGTGAGACGCCAGGCGCCACAGTTCTCAGATAAGTTTGACCATTGCTAATGGTTGATAAAAAAAAAGCTAAGGTTGACCATTGCTAATGGTTGAGGCGCCAAAAGATTTTCTCAGGCAATCTTTGAATCGCTTCTTTGGTGCTCCTCTGCCACGATAGCCAGTGGATAACCAAAAAAAATAAAAGTTGGACATTCTTAGATATCATTTTATTAATTACTCACCCCACTTCATAAGGAATATTTATGAGGCTGGGGAAAGGATATAACAACAAATTATTGTCGCCATTTTTACGGTATATATCAAAAATTAATCCTTACCTTCGCCTTTTCAAGAAATTCAATATTGGAGACTCCAGTTTATATCAATGGATTGTGCCTTCGCCTTTTCAGAAATTCAAATTGCATCAACCGTTGTGGGTGGATTTTGAAAAGAACAGGAATGAAACTTGAAATTTTGGAAACCAATTTGTGATCCTAAATGTTTGACACATAATATACATTTTCTACGTTTCTCACATGCTTGGACAGCTTATTCCCATAAAATATAATTTCCATAAAAGATTTCCTAATAATCAATTCATGTTCTTTTTTACCAATCGACGAAATTCAAAGGCTCTCTGATGTTGATTTTAATCTCGCGCCCTAAAAAAAAAAAGATTTGAATTATTTTCCACCCAACACCACCTTTCCCACAGACGAAACGGCACAAGTTTCTCCCAACTATAGTGGTTCCCAAGCTTTTCTTCTCTGCACCGCATTTTCAGAATTCCATGTGACAAAAAATGTATCTATCAATATAATACTAAAAGTCAGTGACTGTGTGCGTGCTTGAGTGGTGCGTTGTCCGTCCGGCGCATAATGATTTACATGTTCTTTATACAATAAGTATTTTTATTTTAACTTTCTTCAGACAGACAATTTTTAAAAAATATTTTTAAGTTAAAGACAGACACATTTGTTTGTAGAGTAATTATTTAGATTTCAGCTTTCTTTAAAAAAACAATATTTTAAATATTTAAAAAATATTTTTGAGTTAATCTGATTTAAATATATTTTAAGTGAATGTTATGGTCCGGTTCCCTGTACCACGGTGATAGTCCAAGGTAGAACCAATAAAGAAGAACTCGAACACAGGTATGGAATAACACAGATATATTACAAACAGGAATATATACAGAGAAATAGAAGTGTTACTATGAACAATCAGGTTTAGTAGAGAGGACAATGTAGTCTCGGCCAGTATCAATATTCCAATGTCTTGTAGTAATTGTCTGAACGCGGCTCTGTTTCGGACTCCTGACTCGACTTGAACTACTGACTGAGGCGCAGTATTTATGAAATATGGAATAGTCCATTATTATTATTATTGGTAAGATCCCATAACAGTGAATAAGATTTTAAAATAACTGTTATTTATAGAGTAAGTATTTTTATTTTAACTTTCTTAAAACAGACAATTTTTTTTAATTAAAATATTTTAAAGTTAAAGACAGACACAAAGAGATCCCGCTTTGCCGTTTCATCCAGTTGTTTGTAGAGTAATTATTTATATTTCAGCTTTC